GACAGAACAACAGTATCCAGTTGTATTTTTGGACATTGTGGAATATGGCTTATAAAAGTGAAATCTGTAACAAGTGTTTTGGTTGTTTAAGTGAAATGTGGGTAGGTGGAAAGAAAGTAAAATGCATGTTAGTTTATCCTAGATTTTTCTTTTTCTCTGGAAAAAAAAAACACCACCAAAGAACATTTAAATGCAATAAAATAGTTCTGCAGCACATAATAGAAGCAGCTGTGTTTGTGGCTAGCTGAGACAAAAAAAAAAAAAAGTATTTTAGCTTACTCTAGAGGTTTTTTTCCCTGGGGAAAAACTGAAAAGACCACTTAAATGCAATAAAATAGTTCTGCAGCACATAATAGAAGCAGCTGTGTTTGACACTAAATGTAACGATGCACGCCTGAAAGTCCTTCTGCTTTCATGTGCTTTCTATATGTGTGAAAACTGTTTTGCTCCTCTCAAAACATGCACCAAGTTTGAAATAGGTGACTTTGTCCCATGGGGGCTGAGCAGGTTTCCCTCATGGAGGGTCGCCAGAACCTGCTGTCCGGACACTCGTGCTGTGCACATCTCAGGGACTTCGTACCCTGATTCCAGTCTGGGACGCTGCTGCCCAGTTTAGCCATCCTGGGTGAAGGTGCACCACACAAGCTTGTTCTCCAGTTTCACCGAAGAGGGAGGAATCCACATAGTATTAATCTCTGATATCACTCCCTGATGAAATGGAGGACAGTAATTGGGGGTAATTAGGAGATTTCCTTCCAAAGCATGCTCATCTGAGCTAAAACACTAATGCAGATGTTTCTGTGTGTCTCAGTACTTGCGTGCTTTGTCATGCTGATTTGGGAGGAGGAAGAGGGAGTGTTTAAGGAGAGATGGGGTAGGACCCTTGTGTTCAGAGGGAACAGGGCAGAATGGGTTTAGGATGGTCGGGTGTCATGCCTGTGCTCCAGAGAGAGAGGTGGTACTATTGTTCTGATCACAAAGACCCGTTCTCGTCATCTAAATTCTGACCTTTTAAGGATGACTGGCTTAAACCAAATGGATACCATCAACTTCTCTGCTACATCTATCTATTTGGATTTCTGTGACATCAGTTTGTAAATCTTTTTGTGTCACCAGCTCAGTTGTATAATCCCTTCACACGCTCTGGGACTGTCATGTGTTTGTCACTTTGGGATGTGTCAACTTCCTCCAGTGGGATTTCTGCCTATTTTTAGGACAGCTGTGATCACAACTGTGTCTAGAAGATGGAGCACAGTGCAGTGGACAGACTGGAAATAGCGGTTGCCATTTTTATTGGAGTATTTCTTTCATCCTGGAGGAAGAAGTAAATGAGTGGCATTTTCAATTCTGCATAGTAGTCCTTCTTAAGAATTCCCTTTGGAGTCAGTCTGTGGTTCTTGTTTCTCCCCTGCAACTTTTAGGGCAGGCTTGTCTGAACAGCACGTGATACCCGGGGAGTGTTGTGGGACTTGGTTTCACAAGCTGGAGAAAGGAGTCCATGCAGGCAGCTCTCTGCTTCACGTAGGCAGGTCCCAGTAGCTGACACACCAGCTCATTCATGCCCCTCTCCTCCTACACACGAAACACACCCATTGGTGTAGTGTAAATCACTTGCAGAGGGAAATGACTCGCTAACCTTTGCTTCTTGGATGCAAAAGAGTTAACTCATTTGTATAGCTTTTTTAAGAGACAGGAGTCAACCTGTGAGGTGCCAAGGCTGCTTTCTCAGCTGCATTTCAGGTTCCTTGGTTCATCTGTAGCAGGGCTGATTTCCATCACTGCAACTCTTTGAATTAAATGGGAGATGCTAAAGGACAAAGCTTGTAGTTGGTGCTTACAGCAGGCACACCTTTGATTTACAAAGAAAGCTTTGCAGTTGTTTAAAGCTTCATGGATTGATTTTTGAAGGCTTGGTGAAGAGGGTCCTGCTCTGTCCTCACCTCCAGTTTCGTCTGCTTTCTATAGCTTTAAAAAAGTGCTCTGTTAACCAGTCAACAAAACAAATGTGACAAGCATCTTAAAAATCATTCAAGATGGGGTCTTGTGCAGACCCCATCTTGAGTTCTCTCTGCAGCCAGGGTTGAAATGTGGGGGGTTCTGCTGTGTTGACATTCCTGGAACCCAGAACCAAAGCAGCTGGGCAGCTTTTTGAAAAGAGCCTAGTGACAGCCCCTTGCCTGGTTCTTTGAAGATTAGTGCGAAGAATGTCCTATTCTAGAGCAAGTGTAGGTAGCAGAAGCACTGTCAGACTTGTATTTTGTGTGTAATGTGTTGAAAATAAGTGGTTTGACGTACAGTTCATGTTTTAAGTACCCACTTAATTAAAAAATTGCATATGCAAATAACTTCAGGTGGGGAAAGGAAGTTTGACATTAGTGTTGTGGGACCTTTAGCAACCTTGTATTAAAGATAAAATGAGGGAACGTGGACTGATAAGCAGGGGGTGGTAGGACGTGCTTGGTGGTCTTTGGGCAGTTGTAAGTCTCTTAAACTGTGCTTTGGTCATGGAGCTGAGCCAGCCAAAGGGGAGCACCTCTTCCCTTCCCCATATCCCACATCTCGCCAGGCTTCATGTGTTTGTCTTCTCTTTTGTGCTGGCACTTGCACTCGTCTGATCTGTCAGCAAACTTATTCAGGGACACAGACAGAAAAGTCTCTTTGTTTTGTAGGGTTAGTTTTCGTCTGGTTTAACTCCCTGAACCTTCATTCCTGCACAGCTCCAGTACTAGGAAGCAAAGCCGTCCCTTCCAGTTGCCACCGTAAGCTCAGCTTAGCTGGATTGCTGAATGACACTTGGATGTCACGACTGATTTGATAGATCCAGAAACAAAAGCTGTGCACTTCTGCAACGTTGCACCTGAGCAGTACAGCTTTGCTGAAAAGTAAGGAAGCTTAGTGGTGCAGGCGCGGGCCTGGTGACATGAACTCAGCGGTATTGATCTGGGGCCTAAATGAGTGTGTGTGCAGTGTTGAATTGTGCTGTATAAACACAGAAGGTTGAGTCGGGGCCAGTGCAGTGATTTCTGTGCTGCGTTTCACTTGGTAGATGTGCACTTAGCATATACAAAAGCCCTCTATTAAAGGGGTTGTTGAAAGCCCTGCTCAGAGGAGGAGCCCAGGAGTTCCCAAAAAAGGACACCCTTCCTTGTTAAATGTACACTAAAATGTTTCCTGAATGGAGCTTGTTTGGAAGTAAATTGAACTGTCTTCTGAAGACTCTGTTCCTGGTGTAAGGTGGAGAGGGAGGTGGGGTGAGGCTTTGGCCTCATGCTTGCAGGAATGGGTCCTGTCTAGGTGGGTTTGTAAAAGCAGGTGGTGTAGGAGGGGAAGTGAAAACTCTTGGTTTTGCTCTTGGAGTGAAAACCGCAGGTGAAGGGCTTTCTGGAAAAGAACAGAATGAAGTGGAAAATATTTTTCAAAGTGTCTAGCATGCTGGGTTTGATCATCTTTTGACCACACTGCTTTCAGCCAGACTTCTATTATCTAGTTTTTGGGAAACCTGTGAGATTGTTACAGTATAGAATAGGCTGCAAAGCACCTAGGCAGTGTTTATACAGCTCGATCCAATTATCTGCCTCTTTGGTGTGAGCTGGAACACAGGAGGTTCTGCTTAAACTTGAGAAGAAACTTCTTTACAGTGAGGGTGACAGAGCACTGGAACAGGCTGCCCAGGGAGGTTGTGGAGTCTCCTTCTCTGGAGATATTCAAAACCCGCCTGGATGCCTTCCTGTGTGATCTCATTTAGGTTCCTGCTCCGGCAGGGGGATTAGACTGGATGATCTTTCGAGGTCCCTTCCAATCCCCAACATTCTGTGATTCATCATATCATCTGCAAGTTGTGGAGTCAGCCTCCTGGATGAGCTCCACCTGCTGTACCAACATCAGCCACTTGCAAGTGTGCTTTTTAGTTGAAAAGTGTACTTAGGATGAAAAACGCGTTGGAAATAAGGCAGGCTCCAGCACTTGCAGCTAGGGCTTTTGGGGTTGGGTTTTTTTTTTGCCTTTGGGTCTCTTTCATTACCAGTAGAGTTAGAAACAGTTGAAGTGTTTAGAACTGTTGGAGAATATTGAGACAGTTTTCAGTTGGCATGTTCAGTCCCTTTTCCAAAGACAGCTAGTGGAGTTTGAAGGCCTCAGAATGTTTGGGCTGCACACACCCTGGGTACATCTCTGACAGTTCTCTTTGGTTTCTTAACTGTTGTTTGTGTAGTGGACATGAAAGCTGGGTACAGTCTAGTGATTGATAAGTTGTAAGAAGAACTGATTGGCAAAAGGTTCAAACTCTCCTCCTTTTCACTCAATAGGAGGAAAACTGAATGCACCACATACTATGTCTGTTTGCACCCAGGAGAACAAACGGGTCAGAGCATCTGAGAATTGAATCCTCCTTAGCCAGCAGTTTGAGATGCGTGCACCTCTCCTTGCTTGTTGAATCTCTCCACAGAAATACACAGCCATTCCACTGGCGTGACTTGCCCTTTGGCAATCCCTGTTACCATCTCGGGTAGCAGGCTAGGCTATGCTTGCCTATCTTCTTAAGTGCCATGGATATGCAGATATTACTGAATTTTGCTCACAACATTTGATTTATTTTATTTTAAGTAGCTGTAAAAACAGCTTTATGCCACTTGCCTTCTTTTCAAGACTACCTTGCAAAAATGTTTCTGAAGTTTGTCATCCAGTATTGACCACCTGTACTGGGAGGTCAGCAAAAATGCAAGCCACAACTTGTTTTCCTGTGTAAATGTAATTCCTTTCAAGGTATGTCAAAGAAGTGGTGTACAGCCTCTGTAGTGACGTGCAAGTCTAAAATAAAATAATTTTTCAAAACATCTGTCTCTGTGTTTCTCTACTAGTTGTCCATATTTTCTGAAAAGAGCTAAAATTTTACCTAGAATCCCGTGTACCTTTTTAAAGTGAGTCTGCTTTTAGTAACGACACCAAACTAGAGTTCTTCTTTTTGACCCTCTTGTTACTTAACTTTCTTTCTTTGTCACTAGTTTGTATTTCAGGGGCTCCCCATGTGTTTTCAGCACTGCAGCTCAGCAGAGAAGTACAGGAGATGAGTGTGGCCCAGAAGATCCCCGCGATGAGCCCAAGCATCCCCTTTCTGACTGTGCCTTAGAGCACAAAGCCATCAAATTAGAAGAACAAGTCCGGGATTTAACTGTGAGTGTGCTGCTGGTGGCATCATGATGTCTTTAGTTCAGTCCCCTTGACTTGGTCCATCTTTCAGCTTTAACTTTTTCTCTAAGTCCTGTAACACGCACACAAGGGTGCTGTGCTGTGGCAGCCTTCAGAGCAGCTGTGCTGTAAGTGTGAGAGGGTGCACTGTGAAAGTACATTCTGCCTTCCCCAGAAACACCATCTGCCAGGAGTACCTAGGAGCAAGAACTGATAGTGTGATCCTGGCAGGCAAAACGGTATGTTGGGGATGGTCTGGTCAGTTCTCTCACTGCACTGTACAGAGGGAACAGCAGTAACTTCATCCCATTGAGCATCACGTATTGTGTCACACCAGATCCAGATTGTCCAAGGAGAGTCCTTTCCAGTGACAGTGGTGTGGTGGAAATGGTAGGGATCATGTTATAGGGACTGTCCTGGTTTTTGCTAGGATAGAGTTAATTTTCTTTTTAGTACTTAGAAGAGCTGGGTTTTGGTTTCAGCAGAACTTATTATGAGAGGAACATTGATAACAGTACTGGTGTTATTAGTTGCTGCTGGAGCTCAAGGCCATCGTGTTTGGCTGTTCACAGCTGCATTAGGACTGGGAGGGAGAAGCACAGTGAATAGCAAACCCAGAACTGGCATTTGGATGTGCCAATGAAATATTCCATATCATATCCCGTCATGTCAGTACATTAACCAGGGTTGACTGGAAATCGAGGGTGTGCTCTCGGGGATCGCTCAGGCTCGCTCTTCTGGGTTTCGGGACCGTCTCGGCTGCGGGATCGTTAGCTGGCACAGGCCGGGCATCGGTCAGCGGGCGGTGAGCACTGTGTATCACTCATTTGTATAGTCTGTTATCACTGTTGTTATCATTATCATTTTCTTTTAATTAGTAAATAGTTTTTATCTCAACCCGTGAGTCCTTGCCCTTCTTTCCAAATTCTCTCCCCTACTCCCTGGGTGAGGGAGGGAGAGGGTGAGAGAGCAGGCTGTGTTTGGCTGCAAGCTGCAAGCCAAAAAGGGTGAATCCACCCAAACCACCACAAGGGACTTTGGAGAACAGATGTGACACGGGAAAGGATTAAATACTGCAGCACTGGGCAGGCTATTCTGGAGGTAATCGCCCTGAGAGTATTACAGCACCAAGTGATAAATCAGCTGGTCACAGATCAGTTGCTGAGACCGCCAGCTTGCCTGCTGGAGAAAGGATTGTCTTGTAGCCACAGTGACTCATGCAAAAAGCAGCAGCCTGACAATGAGGTGATCAGTTGAGCTGCACCCTGAATGCTTCTGGCCTTCACTTGGGTCTTTTGAGGGAGTCAAAGTTGTCAAGTCTTATCAGCAAGAGAGCAACTTGGGTTTGCATGTAGTGAAAACGCAGGAGCCCAGCACAACCTTCTGACATGAATTGGGCTCTTTTTAAATCCTTTCTAAGGGATTGCCAGCTTGGTGGAAATGGGTTTTACTTCTTTGTTTGATGTCTCCCCTCGCTATTGTGGTTGCAGGAGCGATACCGGAAAGCTTTGGCAGATTCTGAGAACGTCCGGAGGAGAACGCAGAAGTTTGTGGAAGATGCCAAACTCTTTGGTAAGTGAAGTGAGGCAAAGCTGTGTTTACTGTGGTGGCCTGCCTGCCTGCCTGAGCATAAAATGCTGATCATCAGTTTTTCTCTCCTTCTGCCCTGCCCTCGTTCTTTGTAAAGTCTGGCATGATGTTTGGCCTGGACTGTTGGTGTCTGGGCTTGCTATTCTTACTGTATGTCCAGCTGTGTCCTGTCAGGTTCGTCTCAGTGACTGTTCTGAGATCCTTCTTTCAATAAAACAGGCCTGGTGCAATTGAGTGGAGTTCTACTGACTTGGTTGAAATTACAGGTTCTTCTGTATCCTGAGAATTGTCTCTCACAGGGTGTATTTCATACTCTTAGCTGTGTCATTAGGTTGTGATTTCCTTTACTGTATTAACAGCATCTTCTCTTCTGCTCTAGCTTTCAGGAGGTAGATCCTGCCTGGGACAAAGGTTATCAGTTCCTATATCAGATGTTCTTTAAAACTTATTCTATAATAAGTATTTTAGCATCCATTAAGTGAGCTGGATTTGTAGCTTTGGCAACGGAGGCAGGTGAAGGGGGAAGAAACTGCTGTTTACTCTGACAGCACTGTCTCTGAGAATGCGAAACTGTTATTCTCCATAATGCATGAATCTTGGGAGGTTTTTTGTTAGTTAACTCCACTAGCTTTGAAATTAGAGCTGCTTTATTTTTCTTACCAGTCTACCCATTGTGCTACAAAATGGTTGTTGAGGTTTGGGATAATCATTGTTGGTTTTGAGGTTTGGGTTGTTTTGGTTTTTTTCTAACTCTTTGAAATTTAGATGCATTATGCTTCAGATTTGAAGAAAAATTAGGTCCTTTATTAGAAGTTGCTGATGGAGTGAGGCATGGGGGTCTGTAGAGCATTAAAACAGACTCTGGTGCAAGAGGAAATGGTTGGTAATTGGTCTGCTTTTGTCTGCTCCTTTGTTGCTTCTCCCTCATGCTCCTTTGTTCTGTGCTTGTTTAAACATCTATGTCCAGGTACAGACAGCACCAAAGTATTGTTTCTCTTTCTCTGTTCTCCTGTTGTGTCTTTTCACTAAGTTAGTTATGGCATCTGTGTAACTGGGGGAGGCTGATTTTCCTGAAATCTCTACACAGTGTAATACAGCACTGCTGGAAATGTAAACCATCTAAACCCGTTTTTCTAATGAAAAAGACTGCATGACTTTTTCATGACTGACCCAAGGACCATTTTGTCCAGTCCTTTCACAGCAGTTTTAACTTAGGAATAAAATTGTGGATGTACTTTTGAATGGTCATGTATTATTTTTACTTCTCCCCCATTGTGTTTGTTCCCCATGTGCGTTTGTGTGAATTGCTTGGCAAAACATTTATGTCTGTGGGATTGCATGAGAGGGTGTGGAACAGTGTCCTAAATGGCAAGTCTAGGTTGCAGGAACTTTCTGGAGTGAAATACTAATGTTCTGCTTTGTCAGGTATACTGTATATATATGTTGATGTGTATAGATGTATTTTTTCCTGCATATACCTTGATTTGGGGAGTCTTTAGATTACTACCCATGTAATGATAGAGCTTTAGCTACAGGATACAGAAGGCACTCTCTGCTCTCACTAAAGTAACAGTTCAAATCTATTAGCAGCTTTAAAGGTGCTTTCACACTGCTGTGACTTTGTGCCTGTCATTGGTACTGTAGCTCTGTATGTTCTGTAAACTGTCCTTCACCTAATTCTTGCTTCTTTGTGCCTGTAGGGATCCAGAGTTTCTGCAGGGACCTTGTGGAAGTAGCAGATATCTTGGAGAAGACTGCCGAGAGCGCTGCAGAAGAAGCGGAGCCTAGTAATCCAAATCCAACCCTGAAGAAAATCTATGAAGGCCTCTCTCTCATAGAGGCCAAATTGCAAAGTGTATTTGCCAAACATGGCCTTCAGAAGATGAACCCTGTTGGTGGCAAATATGATCCATATGACCATGAAATAGTCTGCCATGTACCAGCCGAGGGAATGCAGCCCGGCACGATAGCACTGGTGACTCAGGACGGCTATAAACTACATGGTCGCACTATCAGACACGCGCTCGTCGGCGTGGCAGTAGAGTCACAGGAATGATGTGGGCTTACCCACTGGCATCTGGGACCTTGCTGAGCTGAGGACCCCTCAGCACTCAGTCACAACTGCAGCTGCATGTCTTTTACTTATTTATTAAGCTAGGTTTGTATTGTATGTTGGCTTCTTTATAATGTGTGCAGTCATTTTGCCATTAATTCTAAGGTACTTGTATATTTAATAATCCTTTTTGGAGTATGTGGAGTCGTACTGGGAGTCCTGCTATTTGTCAGAAACTTGGCACTGTAGCCCCTTTCTCCGTTGCTCATTTCTCCATTAAGACTTGTGTGGGGAAGAGGGGAGATAGGAGAGAGAAAGGGAAATTCTCTGAGAGCTAAGGAATCTTGTCTCCTGGTTCCATCTCTGAGACAGATTCCTGCAGTGGCCTTCAGGAAAGTAACTTCTCTGCCTCAGTTTCCATATCTGTATTAAGGGAATATAATAATACTTACTGACCTACCTCACAGGGATGTGGTGAGGCTTTTTCTTTGCAAAGCGCTCAGACAAGGAAAAGCCGAGAGGGCTGAGTATTATTATCAGGCTGGTTTTGGTGTCTTCCCTTGTCCCCAGGCCCCTCGGGTGGGGATGAAGATAATCACTTGAAATGACATTTAGAGGCAGCTTTTTGTCACATCACTTCAGGAAAACAATCCCAAATTAATGAAATCTCTGTCATGCTACAGTTGAATCGGGATGAGGTTTTAAAGATAATTCAGTTGTTGGGTCAGACTGTAATGTGTTAGTATTTGTTTGCCACGTAAAACCTCAGCTTTCCTCCTTCCTAAAGGTAAAACAGGGAGTAGTCATTCTTGGTGGAGCCAGAAAACTGTTCTCAAATCTCTCTTTCTCCAACCAAAAAATATTTTAGAGGAGAGTAATCTCTCTTCCCTGATGGGTATTTGTGCAGTTTTCAAGTGTGATACACTATACGCTCTTTGTTGCAGCTGCTGGCAAAATGGAGATGTGCCCTTAAGCAGGAAATCTGGACTGTTTTATTTTCTCAGCTCTCCAGTAATGGTACTTGGATAATACTAACTTCCAGTTCACATTCAGATTCTGATTTTGCGTGGTCGTAGTAAATATTAAACTTTTTGGATTTTGACACAAGGAGAAAAATCTGTTCTACTAAAAGTCTCTAGTGCCCTTGAACCAGTTTTAGCAACAGTGACTAGAAAGCAAGAGAAGCAGAAGGCTGAGGAAGTGAAAGCTGACCTCAAGCCGTCCTCTGAGTTGGAGGCATGTTGTTGTCTCAGCATAGCATATGTATTTCCCAGTGGTCCCTTTGCCTGGGAGTCTGTTTATCTCAGCTGAAAGGATGCAGTCACCCAGTATTTAACCCTTTACAGAGCAGCAAGCAGTGTAATGACAGAAGAGTTATATAAACCAGCCTATGGTCTACACTACACAAAACCAAGGCAGGAATGGTTGTTTTCAGGTTGTTTCTTACTGATTCATTAATTCCTGCCTTTTTACTTTCTGTAATTGGATCTGTGGCCTGACAATTCTTTGAGATTCACTTCCAAAAACTCTTTCCTTGTGGTGGATGCCATCACTGGTTTGGAAGAAAGCTTTTTCTTCTCCCATTCCTTTGCAGGTTTAGTTGCATAATCCTTGTGGTGTACTTCAAGAATACCACAGCCTTCAGTTAGCAGCTATCGACAGTCTTTCATCTGGGGAGACGATGTGCAGCCAGTTGGTTGTCATTCCGGAATTTTAAGGAAGATGCACATTTCTAGTTGCTCCATGCAGGATGCTGTAGTGACAGCTGTATGCGGGTGACTCGGGAGTGGATACTTTTTGAGGCGCAGTTTTCTGCCTCTGCGTAGTTAGGTTTTCAGGCAGGTACTCGAGATTTCAACCCTGAAACAGTGCTTCATGGCAGCATTAGATCACTTCGGACAAACCTCTTGTTCAGTGCTCTTTGTTTTATCATGTTGCTGGAAATTTCAGAGATATACAGGACTTCCTGTTCATTGTTTCACTGACTGGGTCACCAGGTTACGCTGCTACTCAAGACAAAGAACAGGTAAAATTTGAAGCATGGCAATGAAAGTCTTGCTGTTCTGCCTCAAGATTGCAGTGTGTTCTGAGGAAACAATGTCTTCAGCTGGAAGGAGCGGTTGCATTCTCTGCTGCCTCTTCAGCCTCTGCTATATCAGCTGAGTCTTTTTGCAGTATGAAGAGTGAGCTGGTTATGGAAACTTAATTTACAAGGAACTAAGCAAAGGTGTTTTACACAACAGGTCGTTTTCTGTCATATAAAGGCTGGAGCTTACCTGAGCCGAATTTAAAAGTAGTGTGTGACCAGAAGTGATGGGATCCAAATCCTCTTTGAACTGACCCACAGAGCCATTTAGCTGTGGAAGTGTACTACAGCCACTTTCGGACAGTGTCTCCTCAGCTAGTATTTACCCATTTTTGCCTTAAAGAAATACCCTAAAATGCACTCCAGACCTTCTGTCTGTAATAAGAGGTTATTGATTCAGCTTATGTGTCTGGGATCTGCTTTTACTGAGGCACTGTTGTGTGGCTAGAACAGGAATCAGAGGGACCCAGTTCCTGTGAAGTCTTTCTCACCATCCTACAGGCCCCATTTAAGTTTGGGGAAGCTGTTTTCCCTGTTCATGCCCCAGTTTTTTCAATCTATGAAACTTCTACAGGATCTTTTTGGGCTTTTATGACGATTACTGTAAGATGTACCCATTGCTTAGAGACTTCTATGGAAGTTACCAAAGAGATAAATACTGTAGCTGTTGTTTGTCCTAGTTTCTGCTTCCTTTGAATGGTGAAGTGAAAATGAAATAACCAAACCTGGATTCCATCATAGAATCCAGATTTCCGAGGCAAAATTTGTTTCTCTTGCCTTTCAAGCACACTTAATGATCTCTTATCGTGGATGATTGCCTGAGTGGATTGAATTTTTTCTTTGTAGGTTCTTGCTCCCTTGTCTGCCTTGTTTGTGTAAAGCTTGCATACTCACCAATGGGGCAGAGTGCCCTTTGGGTGCAGTTCCATTGCACTCTGCAGTTACACCAGAAGCGGGACTGACCCATGAGATTTTTCTCTCCAGTCACTTTATTCAATGACTATTTAATAAAACACAGGAGTATGTTAGCAGGGAGAGAATAGCAGAGGAGAGGAAGCGTCACCACTTCCCTCAGTCATCGCCACTGCGTTTGCCCAGCCATGAACTGCAGAGCTTGAGCTGGGAATGCAGACAAGCAGACAGGACCTGCGTGTGATGGTGATGTGTGGGCCTGTGTTTCTGCTCTGGGGAAGTGGGCAGCCCCGCTGTACCTGGGCCTTTGCCTTGTCCTGAGCCCTTGCCGTACCTGTCGGTGGGAACTATTAGAGTTGAACTCCTGGACGAGTCTCCAGTGGCACTGTCTCACGAGTGTGGCAGCGTCTGAGCTCTGACCAGGAGCAGTGCAGAATGTGAATGTCGCTTTGTGAACCTTAAATTCTCAGTGCTTCATCAGCAGAGCTTCTGTTGAAAGAGACAGCTGTGATAAATCAATAGCTATTAGCAGTTCTTTAATTTTTAAACAAATGTAAGTTTTATATGTGAATATTGTAGTATTTTTTTATTTTAAAACTTGAAATGTTTTGATATTACTTGCAAAGTCAAATGAACAAAGTGTCGCTAATGTCCAAAAATTTAAGTCCATTTACTTGGTGGGAAGCCTGTATATATTGTATTTTTTTGTGTTTCTTTGCTCTTTGTTTACCCAAAGGTTCTGGCTATATGAAAGACAAAGACTGAAGTGTGGGAGTGGTGCAAAAATTGACAACAGCATTTGAATTAATGTTGGAATGGGCTGATTTCCTTTAGATGTCCAGATACTGTCCATTTGCTAATAAAAAATGTATTGCAGTTGCTTCTTTTTCCTTTTTTAACCCGTCCCAAAATGCTGCTCATTCCAACTGCCACTTTAACTGGGCGGGACTGCGAATTGAAAGGTTTCTCACTATTCTTTGTTTAAATATTGTGTAAAATAAGGGCTGTATTCCACGGCAGAGGAGAACTTTGTTGAACATGTTATTAACAATCCTTTAGGTGGACTCCAAGAAACGTGCACACGTGTATGTGCGTGTCATCTTCCCTCACACAGGTGAGTTGTCGTGGATTTCTGGGCTCATGAACTGCCCGTGTGTTGTTCTCTGCTACTTCCACACCTGCTTCCCTGTCTGTTCCTGGTAAGTCCACTCATGGACCATCGTGTAAGAAAATGCTGTCTGCCAGCCTTTGGTGATGGTTCATTCTGCAGAACTCTGCTAACAGTCTGCATGCTTTATACCTGGTTTTATTTTTGCCATTCTTTTCTCTCACAGTTCCACTTTGCTGCATTTTTTCCCTTTGTGTGTGGTGAGCTGTAGCAGGCGTGGTGTACAGCAGATGGCTTAACATAGCGTGTGTGGTATGTCAGGCTTGTGGTATCACGGGCAGATCATGATGTCAAGGATTTGTTGGAGAGAACAGGCTTCCTCTCTGGGGGTGTGATTGTAACAGATCTCATTCTTCCTTCGAGTGTCCTCTGCAAAAATAGCAGGGCCTCCATTCCTGGTTTTGCCTTAGTCTGGTAACACTTGGTGCCACATCAAGGGGCCTTGCTTTGTTCTCCTGAAGCTCTCAATGTCCCTGGGAACTTCTCACTATAAAAAAAAACCTTTGCAAAAGACCATTTCCAAATGGCCTTTCCCATTTCTGGGTTGGTATCTAAATTTTGTGCTAAAGATCCACCAGCAAATCCCCTTTGTGATCACATCCCATTATAGTTTTGTCTAAAAGCAGCTGTGATGGCATTGCTCGGTGCTCGCTAACCAGCTGAGACCAGGAAATACTGCTGCCTGCTGCTGTGTTAGTCATTGCTGGCTCTGCTGGTTTTTCTCTGCAGCAACAGTGAGAGTTGGGAGTTTTCAAACCACGGCCACCTCCATCTGCTGAAAAGCATTGGAGCTGGTGAGCAAGGGGAAGAGCATTTTGCTGATGGCACAGTATTGCAGAACGCCTGTAAGCAGGGCATGGTCTGCTGTGAGAGGGAGGAGATCGAGAGCGGTGCTGACCTGGGCTCCTGGGAGCTTCGCTGCGTGTACAGCCAGATTTGTCACCCACTGCCATGGTGAAACCAGGCTGGTTAAGTAAGAGCTTGTTAAAACCTGAGGTGTGCCACAGAGATACTTGTGTGCTGTGTTTTAAGCTGCTTTGGGAATGCTGTCTCCCTATCCTAGTGGGTTGATTCTGCCCATTGCAAGGACTTGGATTGGCTGAGGAGCAGTAGTTTTGTCTGTGGCTCCCCGCCTGAGTTTCTGGGTTGTGTGTGCTCCCTCATGCAGGAAATCTGAAGCAGCTCCTGGCTGGGGGAAAGGAGGGGGCCTCTGCTTGTGTTGTGTTTCTCCTGAGACAAAGTTCTGATGACAGATTCCCAAACTAAATTTTATCATAGAATCATAGACTTGTTTGGGT